CCACCCCCTCCTTGACACTGTCTACTATCTATTTTGGCAAGCAATATTCTCTAATGTAATGCATTTCTACATTTTGTTTTCACTGATATATGCATTTATACGCACACTTTACACCAATATCTGCATTTTTATATGCATTACTTGGCTGACGAACTGCATTGCAAGATTTGGAGATTGTGAATTTTGAAGGATGGCCATATTTCTGTTTGTATCTTGTTTCAAAAACTATGAATTAGGTGGGTTCTTTCAACGTGAGCAGAATCGACTTTCTCCCGTATCTTTAGCTTCAGCTGAGGTGAGCTGTTTCATGAAGCAGTGTCCTGAAGTCTGAACCAAAACTTGTGGTCACTGCACACCCCTATCAAGCAGAAGACTTTTCTTCGGGCAGCCCTTGAAATAGAGGATTGCCTTTGAAAAGTAGAACACCCTTCTCTGCATTGTTTTCCTGTGAACATTTCGTAGGTGGGAAGAGCCATACAGACATAGATACACAGGTGCTTTCTCTTAGCTTCGAAGGACTACCACTGTTCTCTGTGTTAAGTCCTAATTTTATGCACATACTTAGAATGATTATTGCACATCTAAATTGTAGTGTGTTTGATTCTTCCATATAGATCCATGCAGCCTTCTGCTATTGGTATGTGTTAATCACAGTTCTGCTTTTAAAATGGGACGTTCCCATTAATGATGGTAACAGAACCTAAGTTTCAGAAGTGAGTATTCAAAAGTTAAGGTTTGTGCCCCTCTCATGGGCAATTTAGAATCCATTATGCATTCACTCGCTGAGGTCCTTCTCACTCTCTTCCCATTGTTTCCCACACTGCTAATAGGAGGGTTGCTTGATTTCTGTATCAGAAATCGAAAAAACTGGCTGAATTTCAAAGCTTTGTCTATAAAAGGCTTTGTACTTTCTGCTACCTTGTGCTTTCTGCTGAACACCGCGAGGCAATTCTCCAGTTTGCAAACAACATTGGAAAAAGGTGTTGGAGCATCCATTGATTTAAGTTTTTTCAATAATGCATAAAGCAAGAGGAGGGTAGCAAAGGGGGCATTCAGTTTATAGTCTGTGAATATGAAAGCTTCAGGGAGGCATAGTTAGTACCATATATAACATACTTTCAGTGAACTTTACAGCTCAGGGAAGGGGATATTTCACATTAACACACAATAAGGCAGTGTAAAGGCCAATAACGAGAAAGGTTAGACTAATTAATAGTACAATTGGGAATGGGAAATTGCTTCCATATGCTTTCTATAATTACTGTTACTGGCTAGATAAAAGCATCACATTTTTAGCACAGTTTTTTTCTGTTTCCTGACATGGTAGAAGCCCTCTTGAATAGTGTACAGCACCCCTGTGTAACACTGAAATTCAAGATGCCATTTTCAATGGTAAAAACAAATCACATAGCCTATTCACCTCTTTGATATCTAGAGCAAAATGGTGTCTGCAGCCAGAATGTTATTGTTCCTGCATAAGTTTCTACAGCAGGGGTGAGATATTTCAATCCTTCCAAATGTTGCTGGACTCCAACTTCCATCATCCTTGACCATGGGCCTTGCTGGTAAGAGCTGATGGGAGCTGGAGTACCTGGAAGCCCTTTGTTTACTGTCTCACCATTGTGCAGCTAATGTGGCAGTCTGCCCATTTACTTTTCAATTACTTACTTATCTCTATGTTTCTATTGCATACCCCTCATATGTCCTGAGAAAACTGGGACATCCCATTTTTTTCACGTGAGAGCATGGTGGCCATTTGGGGTGCTGCAATCCCACCCTGAAAAAAGCACTTTTGGGGGGCCACAATCTCTCATGACTCATGTGGAAGTCTAGCCCCAAAATATGGCATCCCAGGTTTTTTTTGCCTCAATGTGTTTGAAGGTATGCCATTATCGCATATAGGATCGCTGCCACAGATATACCTTAGTCTGCCAGTCATGCTCTTGAGACATGGTGAATTTGCCTCAAGTAGGCAAGGGGAGGGGTTTGTAATGCATATGGAGCTTCTAAGTCCTTGAGAGAGGGGCTCATGTCTGGATACGTAAGCAAGCTCTGCCCAACTTCTCCCCCTCCTCCAGTTCAGTGCCCCAAACTTTACAGTGTGGGCTGTGATAGTTTCCTTTTCTGGTGTTGAGTAGGATTTTATTTGTTCATTACCTGCTAGATTTTTTAAAAATGAACACTATAACCCGTATGATGAACTTATATCTGTTCTCCCCTTTGGCGAAGGGAATCAGTTGTATATTGAATTGTACAGCAGCCACTCCAAACCTCTCAATGATGCTCCTGTTTATTTAGATGTTTCATATTTCGCAGAGAGAACTACAGAGCCTGTGCTTCACATTCTGAAACTATTCCTCTGTACTTGGAGAGTTAAATGAAAAAAGAAACTTGATTGCAGACCAGCCAAAATGAATGTGATGAAATGCCTGGATTATACAACACAAAAGCGCTAGTCTGTACTTGTTTGCATGCACTTGGGGCTCAGAGAAGATAGCAGTAACTTTGCCTTCCAAGTACAAAATGATTGCTGGCGGTACATTATGAACATGTCAAGTTCGGGGAATATGTGTTCTTTTTTTCCTTCTTTTTTTAAAAGACCACTCATTTTCTTTCTTTAAATGGTAGCCACTGAAAAGTTATACAAACACTTCAGCTGTGGAATATATAATCTGATGCTTGGCAGGCTTCCTTTGTTGATCCAAGGACTGAAATATGCAGTATATCCTTGCAGTTGGTTCATGGCTTACCCCAAAAAGATATTGGATACTTCCCTCCAGTTTAACTAGGACAGCTCTAGCAATCTAGCATGTTCCTCTGGCTTTCATAACAATTTTCCTCCAACTATTTGACGATGCAATTGGAGCCCTAGTTATGATCCATTCACTCCCCAGATGCTAGCCAGCCATAATCCCCAGACCTGATCAGTTGCCATTCCCCTTCTGCAGGAGAATGTATTTTGACTTCTTATTTGTATTTTGGTCTAAGAACAAATTCACTTCCTGATATCTCAAGCCATTATCTCAGCACACTGGCATGCCTCGGGAGGGGAACACTTTGATGTAACACAGAGACATAAACACACACTCCTTCACACACACTCCTTAAGAGCTGGTGTCCCATGGTCCTGTGCAGGAAGGCCAATTGATATTCTGTGTTGCTGTCTCCAAATAGTCAACCAGGGCAGCCCCACATAAAAGCCCAGAGAGTATGGATGAGTAACACAGATAAAGCCCTCTGAAGTCACCAGAAAGTAATAATACTTTCTGTGTAGTAATATTGCTGTGTGAGTTGGAAGCTGCAAAAGCAAAACCTTATTGTTTTTGTGTGGTTTTTGACTTACAGAGCAAGTCTCATTGTATGGAGTCAGACCATTGCTCTATCTAGCCTGGTACTTTCTGCACTGATTGGCAGTGGTTCTTGTTATGTACTGAAGTTCTCACCCTGGGCCAGCAGGGGGATACTGTAGATAGTTTTCACTCAGGTCCACATATGCAAATAAGGAATTGAAAGTGATGTTCAGTGATTGGATAGTTACAGAAAGTGTTACAGTTGCATTGTAGTGGAGCTCTATATAAGCAGGCTGGCTGAACCCTTCAGTTCAGTTCTGTTCTGGCCTGTGAATAAGCAAGAGCTGTTTGAAGAATCGCTGTGTCATCTGATATGTTCACCCACAACCTAACAGTTCTGCCCAGGATTGAACCTGGGACCTTCTGCTTGCAAGGTAGATGCTCTTTCCTGGAGCTTTAGCTCTTCCCCAAGAGCATCTTTGCCCTTGCATTTCTATATTTACTTTATTTCTAAAACATTTCTCAGAGTTGGGTAGCAACAACACAGCAAGACACGCAAAGCATAGGCAGAAGATGAAACCGTCAGCATCTCTCACACCTGTCTCAGCATAGGCTTCACGTGCCTGGCAGAAAAGAAAGGCATTCAGCTGGCACCGAAAGATGGATAAAGTTGATGCCAGCCTATCCTCAGGGAGGAGGGTGTTCCTAAGCCAGAAAGCCATTGCTGAGAAGGCCCCTCTGATCTCATTCAAAGATGGTATTGCCAGAAGGGCTTCTCCAGCTGATCTCACGGTTCAGGCACGACAGTATGGGAGGAGGTGCTCCTTCAGGTAATCAGGTCATGAGATATTTAGGGTTTTTATACATACATACATACATACATACATAATTTTCTTTGTATGCCGTCTTTCCACAGTTCAAAAACCATGCTCAAGGAAGCTTACGACCTTAAAAAATATATACATAACTACAACATAACAGAAGCAGTTCTAAACTATAAACAAAACATTTAAAAATACACAACCCAACAATTTCCTCAAAAATCACAAGAAGATCTAAAATAAAGATATAACAACCCAACAGCAACAACACCTGCCCCCCAAAAAACCACCCAAGCCTGAGTCTCGTCAACAACCTCAGCTTTTGTAGCTGGAGTCAGGGCTTTGCCCTCCCAGGACAGGTGGGAAAAGGTCTGCAAGGCAGGGAGTAGGTCTTCCAGGACTCACAGCCAAGATGGTCTCAAAATTATTTATATTAAAACTATAGCTCCTGAATTGGGCTTGGCAATTTTGGATCCTTAAGGACTAGTATGACCCATCAGCGCCCTGTGCTGCAGTCTCTGAAGGCGCACATAAAGGGCAGGCCCACATCAAGCAAATTTCAGTAGTCCAAATGAGGGGTTACTAAAGCATGGTTAACCATGGCCAGAGTATGTGTAAAAAGTAACTGATATGTTTTCAAAAGTGGTCAGTGGGAGCGAACTGGAGCACTGGAAACTTACAGGCTATTCCACCTCCTGGAGTAGCAAGCGGTCAAGACATCAAGCCACTTGGGTTATGCTGGAGATGCCCATTCTATCCATTGTTTTTAGAGAGGAATTAGATTTGGATCAAAACTGGTTTGCTGGGGGGAGGGAATGCATTGAAATGTAGAAATCCATTAAAAAATGACAAGATAGATGTAGATGGTGGTTAATGTCATGCGTACATATACATTGGCTCAGTCAGTAGAACATGGGACTCTGAATTTCAGGGTTGTGGGTATGAGCCCCACGCTGGGCAAAAGATTCCTGCATTGCAGGGGGTTGGACTAGATGGCCCTTGTGGTTCCTTCCAACTCTATGGTTCCATGGTTCTGCACCCCACCAACTGGATGCAGAGTGCATGGGAGTTTGTGCACCTACCGAGTGAACCATTTCACATGATTTCATGCTAAGTGCAACCACTTCTTAACACGTGTCCAAATGCAAAAGTCTGTTAAATCTGGGAGAGATGTCCATTTCCCCCATGGATGTTATGGTTAATAGAAAACTGGGCATTGGGTACAACACAGGCTCTGACCCATATAAGCTGAAAATTAAAATCCTCTTTCAAAGCTGGAGCAGCAGCGGAGGCAGTCAAGGTGGTTGTAGCACGCAGGATGATTTGATTTCTGGCCTCCCACATATCCTGTGATAAATGGTATTTCCTTTCAAGCTCATTACTGAGACCCTTGTGGTACTTTGTAACTGGCAGGGGTTTTTTTAATATAAAGAATGAAAAATGAGTTTGCAAATGCATTTTAAACTACACAGTGCTGGATGTAACTTTTGAAATGGTCAGGCGAAGACCCCACCCCCTTCCTGCTGCCTCCATTTTCCTTTTCTTTCTCCATCTTATTTTTTTCCATTTTTGTCCTGCCCTTCTTCTGGTTCTATCTTGGTTGGCCTATCCTTTTCTCTGGTTAGCTTCTTGGCTGGAAGGTTACATATCTTATGTGAACAGTAAAGGCAAAACAAGGAGAAGTATCATTGAACCTCTTATTGTTTAATGAATTTCTGTACAACTCCCTTGAGCACACCCAGCCCAAGGAGGACAAACGGCCGATTGTTCATTATTTGTTGACAAAGCATGGATTTACAGTTGCTTCTGAGGTGCACTAAACACACACACACACTTCTTCTTTGGCGATCACTTGTGGCCGAGTAAGATTGTCGTCCATGAACATGGTCTTAACGGTGTGTGTGTAATGCTAGTTATATTTTTGATATTATCTAATAATGAGTATTGCCATGGTACTAGGGAGCTACTGGGGTTCCATTGACTTAGTCCAGGGCTTCCATGAAACTGTACATTTTCATTCTGCATTTAAAAGAAGTTAAAACAACAACAACAACAACAACAACAACAACAACTGCCCCTCAGTCCACAAGAGACCCAATATCTACCTTGAAGGGCAAACCATTGTCACATAACGGCTTCAGTTTACTGAAACGAGCACGTGTCACATTTTGAGCACACTGAGGTAATGCAAATCTGAGGGGTAAAACTTGAGTTGGTAACTGAATCCAGTGAGGAAGAGACTGGATAGATAATCCAGTGAAAACATCTGAATGATGCACTTGTGGGCTTAAGTCATGGGTAGGCAAACTAAGGCCCGGGGGCTGGATCCGGCCCAATCGCCTTCTAAATGAGGCCTGCGGACGGTCCGGGAATAAGCATGTTTTTACATGAGTAGAATGTGTGCTTTTATTTAAAATGCATCTCTGGGTTATTTGTGGGGCATAGGAATTTGTTCAATCCCCCCCCCAAATATATTCTGGCCCCCCACAAGGTCTGAGGGACAGTGGACTAGCCCCCTGCTGAAAATGTTTGCTGACCCCTGGCTTAAGTGGTGGGGGCAGTCCTTCCACAACATGGTTGACTAGAAGGAATGTGAAACATGGTGTTGGGGAACCAGCAGAATACAAGCCTGAATGGTAAACCTTTGTGAGCATTAGCAGTGACTCACACGGTGTGGCGTGGGTAGGTGGGGGTGAGCCCAGAGGCCTGAAGAGAATTGGATATGAGCAACTCCAGCACCTCATTGGCCTGCCTGTTTAAACTATTCAGCATCTGCCCAGTCCCCTCACAGAGTGTAATTTAAATGTACCAGAAAAGAGATGGACCAGGTGTGTGATTCGTATGACCCTGAAAGAAAACTCCACTAAAATGACACATAGATTGTATTACATGCCAGGAAGATTATTAGGGATGTCTCCAAGCTGCCTATGAAACTGGAGGTGCTATAAAACAAAAGGCACTTTTGTCTGTATGTGGTGGGTTTGTTATTTGATCACTGGCTGAGGAAGTTTTGGAATATTACGCTGATGAGTAAAACTACTAGTCTGTTTATTTCATAAAATATACACACCACTTGATTGTAAAAAACAAAAACTGTTTTATAAAAAGTCAAAACAAGAAAATGTATAACTGTACTTTAAAATATGCAAAAGGTATCAACATTTATGGGAAGGAAGAACCCCAGTGATCCAGATTTTTTCAACAAAACTGGGAGGCTTTTATTTTATGTTCATCAAAAATGGGTGACACGAGACCAGTGCAATGGCTACTGTGGATCTACTGATTATGCCGTAAAGTTACATAGCTGGTGGAGACTGATTTATGAATGCAACTGTAAAAGTAATAATAAATTTTGACAAAGCTGTGGAGGAACAAAGAGAAGAGGGTCTCTCAGGAAAGGGCCAGGTGCCATATCAGAAGTGACTAGGTAGACTCTGGCAACTTTTCACACCAAACTGCAGTGATACTTGCTGTCACCTTCCCCAGCCCTCCAAGGGCACTTCCATTGGCTCTGGTTCTGCCCTAACCCAATCAGTTGCAACATTTGGGCGTCTAATTATTTTCATGCATATTGGCTTTTGCGATGAGTGGGAATGACTGCGTAGATAGATAATGTTCTGGCAGATGCGTGTGTGCTCCTTGGCCAGACCTGCTTGGGAGTGCCTGCATTCATTTCGCCTGTTGAAAGGATACACTCCCCCTCTCATCCGCAGGGCCAGTTGGCTGCCTGCAGGGGAGACCGCGTACCAAACTGACAGGAGCGCTGGTCCCTGCAGGAAGCACTAATTGTAAATTAATTCGTGTGGATTTTTTCCAACCGCTGCAATAATTAATTTACAAGCTCTGTATGCACCTGAAAGACATGCCTGTCACTCCTCTGCTAGCAGACGTTGCATGGGCATGAATCCATTGTTCCCCAGACTTCAGGAAGTATTGTGACTCATGTGATTCCGAGGTATAGGAAATGGGGCTGCTGGAAAAAATAACATCCACTACATGCATTTTTTCCCTGTCAACTATCGCCCTGTTGCTCTGTATAAGAGAAGGACTTGATGCAGGCCCCAGGTTTATATGGTGGAACATGGAAGTGAGAGTGAGTTCTGTGTATATGTGTCACACTTCAAATGACACATATACGCTAAGTAATCTGTACACCTATATGTGTGAACCATTCACCACAAAAGGAACATTACACAGGGGAGGCCTCAGAGTTGATCCCTGCATATTCTATTTTGCACAGAGCCCTATGAATCAATGAATGGATGGCTGTCTGGACCAGCCCTTTGAGAGAGCAATAATTTTAAATGCAGGCGTAACACAGTGGCTGGTGCGCCGGGGGGGGGGGGAGCAACCCTATTGATTTTTTGTTTTACAAAAATTAATGCACTGGAGGACTCTGACTAGCTTATAATTTTAAGGAACAAGGGCTTATGACTGGTTGACTTACATATGGATATTGCACTAACTTGAATAAGTGGATAGCACATGGAGGGGGAAGGGAAGTGGGTGGCGTTGTGGTCTAAACCACAGAGCCTAGGGCTTGCCAATTGGAAGGTTGGCAGTTTGAATCCCCGCGATGGGGTGAGCTCCCGTTGCTCAGTCCCAGCTCCTGCCCACCTAGCAGTTTGAAAGCACGTCAAAATGCAAGTACATAAATAGATATCGCTCCGGCAGGAAGGTAAATGGCGTTTCCATGCTCTGCTCTAGTTCACCAGAAGCGGCTTAGTCATGCTGGCCACATGACCCGGAAAAACTGTCTGCGGAAAAACGTCGGCTTCCTCGCCCTATAAGCGAGACGAGCGTGCAACCCCAGAATCGTTCATGACTGGACCTAATGGTCAGGGTACCTTTACCTTTACCATTACCTTTACATGGAGGGGGACTTGTACAAAGCACTATTTAAACTAATAAATGGCCGTGGCAGACCCTCCAAGTGTCCCTATTTCCCAGGGATACCCAGATTTAGAAAAGCCATCCTGGTTTCTGATTTGATTCCGGAATGTCCCGCTTTTCCTCAGGACATCCCTATTTTGATTAGAGAAATGTTGGAGGGTATAAAGTTATCCAACCCCCCAAGCCATCTGAAGGCAATCCTGTATAGGGAAGCTTTTTGTTTTTGTTTTTTAAATGTTTCATTATGTTTTTATATATGGTGGAAGCCACCCAGAATGGCTGAGTAAGACGTGTGGGGCATGAATAGTAAAATTATGATTATGGAATGGGACATCCCTATTTTCATCGGAAAAATGTTGGAGGGTATGCCACAGAGGAGGAGCACACTCTCCTTGTCTACACTTGAAGAGACCGTGTGTGGGCGCGTGCACACACAAATAACATCTGTGGGGGAGTCTGAGCATCCTTGGGCCATGGCAGACAGGAGTGCTAACTTGAATAAAATATGGGGGGGGGGGGGAAGGTAAGCCTAGAGATGGGAAGGCAAGACGCAGCACATGCAGACCATTTGAATAGCAACGCCAATCAACTTGGAGGGGGCAGCCTCCTCAAATATTTTATTGGGCAGGCTAAAGGAGTTACAGTGGTACCTTGGGTAACAGATGCTTCAAGTTACAGATGCTTCAGGTTACAGACTTCGCTAACCCAGAAATAGTACCTCAGGTTAAGAACTTTGCTTCAGGATGAGAACAGAAATCACACAGCAGCGGCAGCGGGAGGCCCCATTAGCTAAAGTGGTACCTCAGGTTAAGAACAGTTTCAGGTTAAGAATGGACCTCCGGAACAAATTAAGTTCTTAATCTGAGGTACCACTGTAGCTCTATGGTGGCAGATGAGGAGAGAAAGTTTAACTCTTTCTCCTCTTTCCAAAAACCTTCTTTCCTCGTCTTTGCATTTCATTGGTGCCAATGCAAATTGAAATTTAAAGAGCAGCTTTCAATAGGAGATTTTTGCCCAGCCTGTGACAGAGAGAGAAAGAGACCTACTGTGGGTCTGAGATTCATCAGCTT